AACTCCAGCTTCAGTTTGTCAAGGCACAATGGGGTAAACTCTTTCATAATGGCTTTTTTTGGGAAAGAAACATCCCGGCCGTTTTGGAGATCTCTGAAATGGTTCAAGTTGGTGGCTTAAGTGTGGGTGAAATAAAAGAAGCTGAAAACATCCTAATGAAACAGGTGTGTGAGAAGACTCTGGAGATTGTAGATCAGTTGCAATGGGTCACCAAGGAGCCAGAGTGGGAAGACTTGTTAAATAGATTAAAGTCTCATGAGGAAGTTGCCATTCATTACACTCCATCCAATCAGGTGACCGTAGTTGGCCCTTCTCTTCAGACTGCTGTGGTAGAAGACTATATTGAGGATTACTTAAGAGATAATTCCCCATTGAAAGAAAGTATGATGCTTACTAAACCAGAATTAGTATTAGCTGGGGAGAGACTCCTTCATATTATGAATTGGGAACACCTCAAGGTGAACATCACGTTCAAGCCAGGTAATTATATGTTGTCACTGCAAGTGAAAGGACTCCAGAAATTTGTGAAGAAAGCCATTCCTGTGATCAAGAAAGATTTGGATTCCCTGGTGTTTGGTATGATACCTCTGAAGAAGAAAGCATTATGCATCTATTTCTCTGAAGATGGGGCAGATCTGCTGAAGAATATGGCAGATACCCAGAATTGTATTGCAAAGATGCAAACCCTGGAGAACCACCACTCCAGCAATGATGGAGTCTTGCAAGTAAGTAATAGTGTTTTTTAAGGCAACCGCTAGTTATTCTTCTGTGTCCTTCTATCAAATATATATAGGTAGTCCTCAACTTACAAACGCAACTAAGCCCAAAATTTGTTTAGCAAGATAGTTGTTAAGTGAGTTTTTCCCCATATTATTACCTTTTTACCCACTGTTGTTAAGTAAAACCCTGTAGTTATTCAGTTAGAACGGTTGTTCGGCGAATCTGGCATCCCCATTGACTTTGCTTGTCCCAGAAGGTGATCATATGACCCCAGGACACCGGCAACCATTATAAACACAGGCCGGTCACTAAGTAATGAATTTTCATTACATGATCATGTTCCCATGTTGTGGTGGTTGTAAGTGTGAAAAAAGGTCCCAAGTAACAGGTTTTTTGTTTAGTGCCATTGTTACTTTGGTCACTAAAGAAATGGCTGTAAGTCAAGGACTACCTGCATTCATTCCCCTCTTTTGTATATGTGTCTTCAAGTCAATGCTTACATCTGTACTAACTCCTGTAGTTTTCTTGGCAACATATCAGAAGAGGTTTGCCATTGCCTCAGTGATGAGATTCAAAAAAATTTACTACTGGTTCTATGGGTGTGGCTTGGTGGGCATGGCTTGGTGGGAGTAGCAGGGAAAGGATATTGTAAAAACTCCATTCACACCCCATTCCTGGGGGAAGGTTACTGCCATTCCTTCCCCACCCCACTAACCTGCTTTCCAGCTCCGTTCTCCTGTGCAGGGCAACCAAAGAAGACCCAGCCAATCAGCTGGGACTCAGGAGGCAGAGAACAGATGGGGACGGGGCCAGTCAGAGGTGGTGTTTGTGGTTCTTTGCACTACTCAAATTTTCCCCTCCCGGTTCTCCAGAACTGGTCAGAACCTGATGAATACCACCTCTGCATTGCCTGCTTCCTAAGGCTGAGAGGGAGTCACTCGGCAGGTTTTGTACCTAAGACAGGACTAAAACTCACAGTCTTCCAGTTCCTAACCTAGTGCCTTAACAACTAAACAAACTGGCCCTAGGCTTGTGTCAAATCCCTGAATTGAGGCATGTACCCCAATATAAGTTTCCTGATTTATGATTGATTGGATGTTTCCTCAGTACTAGAACTGTTTTTGTTTAGATTGGTTTTGTAGTAATAGTCTAAATGGAATTGGGAATAATTCTGGTACACTGAGTTCTAGAAACATACATTAAAACTTGAGGAACAGGGCAGCTCGAATGATTAGGACACCAGGTTGGAAGTTAGCAAAGTCAAGTTCAAGACTTCAGTGGTGCTGTCGGGTGGGGTGAGCTCCCATCCTTTGCTCCAGCTCCTGCATGGGGCATGAAAGGAGGCCCCTACTAGGCGTCGCCCAGGCAATGATGATGTCATTGGCTAATTCTGTCAACCCAGAAACTCCTTGGTGCTTCTGACACGAGTGTAATGCAAATAAAAACTGACATCCACATTTCTAACCCATTTGATTTTGTTCTTACAAAAAATGTTCTTTTTTCCCTCCCTTCCAGGGCTTAGCTGAGGACAACAGGACTGTGATTTTTGTTGTGGGCATCCAAAGCAAAGTGACTTCACTCAAGCAGCATTTGTCAGATTTTATTGCCAAATTCCACAAAGAAACCATCTGTAATACCGAGATATCAACTTTCAGTGATGACAGCCTTAAAGCCCTTTGCAAAACTATCCCACCTCAGTATCCGGTTGGCTTCCATCGCCTAAGAGAAACGGTGTTTTGGATTTGTGGTTCTAAAGAAGATGTTGAAAATATTTCCAGAAAGATTTATACCAAATTAGAAGAAATTCTCACTATAAAGATCCAAAAAGCTCAAGCTGAACAGACAGTTTCCATGCTTCTGTATGAGACTATCCGTTGGCATCATTGGTCTGATGCCGGATGGTCTACTTTTGACATACTAACCAATCGCTATCTGGAGGAGACATATCGCGAGAAAAAAACGGAGGCACTAGTGCCATGGAATGGAGAAAAACTGAAGGTTAACTTTCTGACAGACGAAGCCTTCGTCCCAGGGAAGAGAAAATTCAAGATAAGGAGAGAGATCTGCTTATGGGGTGAGAAGATGTATCTTACTTTATTAAAAATTCTCTTTTAGGATGGAGTGGAATGGAATAATAGAATATTTTCCCCAAAATTAGCCCTAGCATGGTTTTTATACAGTAGAAGTAGAGTAAAATATTGCAATCAGTGCAATGCAGTGCAATACAATACAATGCAATAATAATAATGTAATAATAATAACCTTTATTGTCATTGTACATCATGTATACAACAAAATTGGTTTTAGCCTCTACTGGTGCAATCCACAACAAAAATACAAGACAACATGAATAGTATAGAATAATCCTTATACAAGTAATTGTGGGGGGAAACTAGTCATATGTTTCCATATATACGTGGAGTGATTGTGATTTCGGAGTGACAGCCCATGGGTAGAAGCTGTTTCTGAACCTGTTTGTCCGGCTGGCTATACTTCTGTGTCTTCTGCCCAATGGTAAAAGTGAAAAGAGACACTGGCCAGGATGTGAACCATCCCAACCCAATACAATAGAATACAGTATTTTCCAACCTTGGCAACTTTAAAATGGGTGGACTTCAACTCCCAGAATTCCCCACCCAGAATGGCTGGCTCAGGAATTCTGGGAGTTGAAGTTCACGGTTGAGAAACACATGCATATTATAATCTATACATACTACGTATATAATGTATGATGTACATATATAATATATTTAATATAATACAAGGCTGGCTAATAGAATTTTTAGTAGAGGAACTCTCCTGCCAAAGACACTCTGCACCTGCTCAGCTTGAAAGACAAATTATTTGTATGGTTCTCCAAAGTCCCTGAGGGCAGGAGAAGGAGCAATGGATAGAAACTAATTAAGAAGAGAAGCAACCTAGAACTAAGGAGGAATTTCCTAACAGGGAGAACAATTAATCAATGGAACCACTTGCCTTCAGAATTTGTGGGTGCTCCATTACTGGAAGCTTCTCCATGGTCAAAAATGTTCTTCCCATCTGTACATGTATCATAGGAGGGCCTCTTCATTTATTCATTTGTTCAATCCATTTATTTGTTGCAGACAAGAATATTGCTCCCTTCTGGGACACCATGGATGAATGTTTAATTAAGAAAGTGGAACTGCAGACACATTCAAAGGAATATCAGGATGTGGTGGATAAGTTCAACAAGACAGCTGGGAAGTACAAAGTTGTCAAAGTAAGTTGTGATTAATTGGAGACTTTGCTATTAAGATTAATTAATATAGACCAATCTTTTCCAAACTTAGTAACTTTATGATGTCTGGACTTCAACTCCCAGAATTCCCTAGCTAGTATGTATTTTTTAAGGCAACCCATTCTCTAAACCAGGTTATGAACTTCAGACTATAATATATAAGAAGCACAGAATAAGCACAAAGCAGGGAAAAAGCAGAGAAAAATAACTACACTAATTTTAGATTATTTAAGCAAGAGAGACTAGTCATATATTACAGTAGCACCAAACTTTCTTTTAAAGTTGAGATTTGACATTGCTCATTTCATGATAAAGTGTCAGAATATTCATGAACTGGAAGAGACATGGTAACAAGGTCAGCTAACGAGAGCTGAATTAGAAACTGAAGGGCCTGGCCCTGCAGCTCTGAGTGCTGTGCTGAGAACTGAAACTAGTCTGCTCTGAGCTGGAAGAATCTACTATTGGTATTGTACATTTTAATCATGTATATAAAGAAGTTAATGAATCCTGCTGAATCAGTCGTCTATGAATGCTTTCTGGATTTGATTTCTGCAATAAACGCTGACAGGTTATGGGTCCAGCCCAAAGCACACAAAAAGACTGAATTGTAATTGAAGCGGAGACTGCCTGTGTTTAAAAAGAGAAACCAGGCAAAGAAGGCTTTGCAGGATGGCTGTTGTTGAAATTCAGGAGAGCTCTCTGCCTTGTTTGGGACAGAAGAACTACTGTATATAATTTGGGCTGCAAAGATGGGGTGTTTCCTAAAGGCTAAGGAACTGTGGGATATTGTTGTAAATCCACCCCAGGCACCTGCAGCTGCAGATCAGAAATAATGCATGATAAAGCAATCACTTACATCATCTTAAGTTTAGAAGATGAACAAGTTATCAATGTAGCTGATTTAAAGACTGCAAAGGAGGTCTGGCTGAAGTTGAGAAGTGTGCATGTGAGTGTGTTGGAAGAAATATCCTTCTGGGTTCAGTTCCAAGTGGGGAAAAAGGCACTGGAAACAAGGAGGCTGTTTGGAAGGTTTAATGGTGGACAGGACCACATGGCCTGGAGTTCCAGAGTGAAAAGGAAGGATGATCACATGCTTCAAGCTGAAGGAAGAGATAAAAAAAAAGGCTGAGGTGCTGAGAGTGCCTGGGTTTTGTTCTGATTGGTTGTCAGACTCCCATGGGGCCATGCAGGGGCAACACTGTAGGCTGTCCTGAATTCCAGGCTTGGTTGAGCCTTGCTGGAGGATGATGCACTGAAAACGGCTTTTGGCAATTGCTATAGCTTTTCCTGGAGATCTTCGTTATGTAAAGTATTCTGGCCCAGGCCTTAATGGCCCACCCATTAACAAAGGTGGGGGTGAATTTCTGCTTCTGAGGTGAGTTTCTGCTCTTGAGTTTCTGTTCTTTTTAGGGTCAATATTCTGCCTTTTTATTATTTCCTAGGATATTTCAATTTTCTAGGAGAGGTGTAGATGCTAACTTCCTACAAGTGTGTCAGCAATATTGTACAATTATCAAGAAAGTTATACAGAGCCAGTTTGCAACCAGGAAAAATCTGTGGAGCAGCATTTTGTACAAATGCAAACTTTGTTGAGCTAGAACAGTGTGTGTTGCAGATTCCTGAATCTCAGAGAATGCTGTTGGTGGGACACGTGGGACATTGTTTCTGCAGTATTTGAATGCAAACCAGAGCAGGAATTGCATTTGGAGGCCTTAAAGACTTGTTTAATAGCTGAAGAGAACAAGCGCCATTTTAGAAAAAGTCACGAGGAGAAATTCCTGAGGTGGGGGCCTAAGGAGCAGAGAGATAAGAGCAATGGAAAGTTCCACAGACTGGCTGTCTCTAAAGACAAGAGCAACAGGCAAATTGTCTGCAGATAAGAAAAAAAGCAGTAGAAGAGATCAGATTACAGTCCAGCAACAGAGGAGGTGTTTCATTTGTGGTAAAAACACACATTTAAAGAAGGACTGTTTGCAAAGAAAAAACTGTTTGCAAGAAAGAAATTATTTGCAAGTCAGGAATTATTTGCAAGGAAGACAGTCGGCAGATGGACAAGTTGCTGTGGCAAAAGTCAGCTATTGCAATAGCAGAGACAAATGGTTGATAGACAGTCAAGCAATTGTTAACAATTCTAAATTGTTTTACAGGATGGATTCAGCTGGTGGAGATGCAGTAGCCTTGGCAAATGGCCAGAAGGCTAAAGTCATTGGAAGAGGTAGTGAGCAAATTCCATATCTGGAAACGAGTTTTAGTAATATATTATGTATGCCTGAAATGGAACGTAATTTATTAAGTGTCTCTAGTCTAGACCAAAAGGGGTTTGAGACCACATTTGTAAATGGGCAGTGTGTCATAAAGAGAAATGGAATTGTATGTGCAAAGGGCATAAAATAATCTTTATATGTTGCAAAGACAAAAGGTTCAATTTTGCAAAAGATGGACCAGTTTGAAGAAGGATTGAATTTAAAGGGATGTAAGGCTTATTTGGATTGTGCAATATGCAAATCACCAAAGTCCAAGGCATTCCCAGTGAGCAAGAGTAGAGCTGGTACATGCAGATTTAGTTGGGCCAATGCAAGCCAGTTTGGGAGGAGTAAAGTATGCACTGGTCATTGTAGTTGATTATAGCAGGTTTGGATTCTGCTATTTACTAAAGAGTAAAATAGAGGTGCTACAGAAATTTAAGCAATGGATAAGCTTCATAGAAAGAAGGTATAAACAACAGGTGTCAGCTGCAAACTGACAAGAGGTTCAGAATTCATGTCAAAAAGTTTTCAACAGTGCTTGGGACAGTTAAGAATAAAATACAGACACATAAATCCGTACCCAGTAGCTGAGAATGGTGTTGCTGAGAGACGGAATGGAATCTTACAAACCATGAAGGACTCACTGCTAGAGATTTCTGGTCTGAGCAGGTCATATTGGGGTGAAGTCATGATGATTGCTAATTATTTAATTGATTGAGGAGTTCCTCTATTAATGATACTCCATATGCAGTGCTATATGGAAGAAAACCATCTCTGGAACATTTAAGGGTTTTTGGAAGCAATGCATGGGTGCATATTCCAAAGCAGTAAGAAGAAAGGGACACCAAAGGCTAGAAAGCTCAGGTTTATGGGCTAAGAGCCAGGCTCAAAGAGCTATTGCTTTAGCGATGGGAGTAAGAGAATAGTGATTTCCAGGTCTGCTAGCTTTGCAGAGCAAAATTGAAACAGAATTCATGCAAATTTATGGAATGATTCACTTAGTGATGGTGATCCACAGTGATGGTAACTCACTTAGTGATGGTAACTCAGTGACTGTGTCAGTGTTCAGGGAGGAGAAGCTGAAAAAGATATGAAGCAAGAGAGGGTTAATGCACTAGAGCAGTCAATGCCATGCAGGTCAAAGTGATGGAGTAAAGGGATTCCACCTAACAAGTATTCTGCTAGTAAAGTTAGTGTGTAATCTATGATATGAGCCAAGAAACAATAACAAAGTTTTGGCACTACCTAAAATTGAACAAGTAAAATGGAAAGAAGTCATGGACAAGGAAATGAAATCCATGGGTGAACATGACATGTTCACATTTATGACTTTGCTACAGGGTAGCAAAGCTGTAGGATGCAAGTGGGTATACAAGAAGAAAGTACTGCTCAATAATGAGGTACAATATAAAGCAAGGTTAGTGGCACAAGGGTTTTCACAGATGAAAAATGTGCACTATGATGAGGTATTTGTGCCAACTGTAAAGAGTGAAAGCATCAGGCTGGCACTAGTGTTGGCAGTAGCACATGGCCATCAAATTTGGCATTTTGACATAACCACTGCATTCCTCAATGCAGAATTAGAGGAAGAAATTTATATGGTTCAAACACCAAGGTATGAAAGTAAAAAGCTTAACACAGTGTATACATTGAACAAGGCCATTTATGGGCTGAAGCAGTCAGCCAGGAAATGAAATATATGCTAGATAAGGCATTGAAAGGTCTTGGGTTCAAGAGTTGCAAGGCTGATGGTTGCATATACACTGGAAAGTTTCAAGGTGGGGATTGTCAACTATTACCATTTGTGGATGATCTTTGCTTCATTACAAAGGATGTATCACAAGTGAAAAGGAATGTGCTAATAAGTTGGAGAAGAAATTTAAATTAAAAAATTTGGGAGAAATAAAAATGATCTCGGTATGCAGATACAAAAGACTGAGAAAGATGCTTATATTCTCAGTCAAAAAAGAAAAATTTAACAGCTGTTGGAGAGAGATAACATGAAAGATTGTAATACTGTTCCAACACCTATGAGTACAGATTTTCATAACAGTTTGGGGAAGATGAAAATGAAGCCTGTGATCCAGAAATATATCAGTCAGCAATAGGGAGCCTGTTATATCTGTTACAGTGGTCCAGATCAGACATAGCTTGTGCAGTAAGCATTTTGAGTTGCTTTACTGCTGCACCAACGCAATTGCATTGGATGGGTATAAAAAGAATTCTCAGGTATTTGAAGGGAACTTGATTTGGGGTCTTCAAATACAGATATCTGAAGATTTAAAATTGAATTGCTATGTTTATAGTGATTATGCAAATGATGTAAAAACCAGAAAGTCCAATTCTGAGATTGTGGTATTGTTTGGAGGGTCTTTAATTGGTTGGAAGTCCAGAAAGCAAACAACTATAGCCATTTCTACAGTGAAGGCAGAATTTATTGCTTTGTCTGAACTCTGTTCAGAGATAACTTGGTACATACAGCTGTTATAGGATTTAAATGTAAAAGTAAATGAAGCTCTATCAGTTTATGAGGATAATGCTGCCTGCATTAAAATGGCAACAGGTGACAGAGTAAAAAACAGAAGCAAACATGTGGACATTAAAGATTGTAATGTAAGAGAAGCCATCAAAGATAAATTGATTAGTTTGTTTCACTGTGCATCAGAAGACAATCTGGCCGACATAATGGCCAAGCCATTGGATGGAGTGCACCATGGGAAGAATATTAAATTAGTTGGGTTTATGTCTTTTCCAGTCATAAAGGGAGTGTCAGAACATTCATGACTGGCAGAGACATGGTAACAAGGTCAGCCAATGAGAGCTGAATTAGAAACTGAAACTGAAGGAGCCTGGGCATAGCCCTGCAGCTCTGAGTGCTGTGCTGAGAACTGAAACTAGCCTTCTCTGAGCTCTGAAGTTGCAAACTTGTCTGGGCTTGTCTGTAACTACCACTTTGGAAGAATCTACTATTGGTATTGTACATATATTATTATGCATATAAAGAAGTTAATGAATCTTGCTGAATCTGTTGTCTATGTGTGCTTTCTGAATTTGATTTCTGCAATAAACACTGACATAAAGTGTGTGATATTTTATGATAGCAAAAAGTCACAAAACTACAGGTCAGTTCTCTTATACTTTTTTCAATCTACAATTTTAAGATCTTTTTTTTTTAAAAAAACCTTTCCTTCCTTCCTTCTTTCCATCTTTCTTTCTTTCTTTCTTTCTTTCTTTCTTTCTTTCTTTCTTTCTGTCGTCTTCCTTCTTTCCTTCCTTTCTTTCCTTCTTCTTTCTTTCCTCCCTCCCTTGTTTCATTTTCCTTCCTTCCTTTCTTTCCTTTCCTTCCTTCTTTCCTCTTTCTTTTCTTCTTTCTCTTTCCCTCCCTCCCTCCCTTCTTCTGACAAACAAGGCTCAACAAAATAAAATGACTCACCAAGGTCTTTGTTAGGAATATAAGTCACCTATCAGCTATTTGGATTAGAAATATATAAACCAGGATAAACATTTTAAAACTGTATCTTTAAGAAAATGCAAAACTGTAATTAGGTGTGGTTTCTCGAACAGCCATAAGATGGAGCCAGAAACCTGGGTTGTTTAGTCTGAGTCTCAGAAGAGAGTGTAAGTGTATCTCTGTTTCCTTCTGTTGGAAAGTATTGCCGTTGCTCCATTTCTTCTAATTGACTGATATTACTGGATTTAATGTAAGTCTGATACTGAACTGTTTTTGACACTGGAATTTGATATTTGGATTATCCCTGGATGAAAACTGACTGATTTTACTTGTGAATGACTTTTGGACTGCTTATTTTGGACTTTGCTTAAACCTTTCTGGAAGTAAAAACCCACATTTACTGTACAGTGTATCTGTGTACTGTGTGTGTATTATTCAAACACTTCTCTCAGATACGTCTCCCTGTATGCGCTCATTCTCCTAACGGGGAATTACCTCAACAGTCTTGGTTTTTTCCTTATAGGTAGAGAGGATCCAAAACCGATATTTGTGGGTTTCCTATTGTTGGAAAAAAAGTTGGATGGAAAAGAAAAATCCAGAAAGGATACAGAATGAACTCATTCTCTATCATGGAACGCAGTCAGACAAGTATTCCTCTATCTGTAATATTGGCTTCAAAAGTGCTTTTCGAAAACGTAAGAAACTGAAAAGGGGGTTTTATCGCTCTTTCCCAAAGGCTGTCTACCCTTGAACAAATAAATCGATCAGTAAAGAATCCAAGTTGGTCCAAATATGATGATTTTGCTGCTGGTTTGTGTTATCCTCAAAAAGCAACCTATAGCATAAACCTCAAACTATTTACTTTTGTAGCACTGTAACTTACATTTTTAGAACAAAAAAAATCACCATCAGCTGATGGAGAAAGCTTATTTCCTTCCATCAATTTTGGTTTGCTTTTTATTTGCAGCTCAGAGGTTGAGCTGTAGTAATGTCAATCAGTCAATCAGAACAGAACTGGAAGGGACCTTGGAGGTCTTCTAGTCTCCTGCTCAAGCAGGAGATCCTATATCATTTCAGACAAATGACTGTCCAGTCTCTTCTTAAAAGCCTCCAGTGATGAAGCACCAATAGCTTCTGAAGGCAAGCTGTTCCACTGGTTAATTGTCCTCAGTGTAAGGAAGTTTCTCCTTAATTCCAGATGAATTAAGTCTGAGCAATGTCCTGGAAAGATGAATTGCATAGACCAATATCCATCTTTTACATGTTACTAATTATAAATGTGCATATCATCTGGGTTTATGAAGATTAAAAATATGGCCCGCATTTTCTTGACCTTATTAAAACTTTATCACATTTCCAAGATCTAATGCAAAATCAAAGGTTCATGAATAAAGGAAAATCCACACTGGTCATATGTGTGTAAATTCATGGTAGTCTGACCATATTTCTTATCAGTACAAATAGAGGTAGTCCTTGACTTAGAGTGGTTCACTTAGTGACCATTCAAAGTTACAACAGCACTGAAAAGTGACATGACCATTTTTCACACTTATGACCATGGTCGTGTGATTAAAACTCTCATACTTGGCAACTGACTCAAATTTATGATGGTTGCAGTGTCCCAGGATCTGATCCCTTTTTGCGACCTTCTGAGAAGCAAACCCAATGGGGAAGCCAGATTCATTTAATAGCTGTGTTACTAATTTAACAAGGGATTTACTAACAACTGTGACAAGAAAGGTTGAAAAATGGGAAAAACTCACTTAATAATGTCTTGCTTAGCAATGGACAATTTGGGGCTCAATTGTGGTGATAAGTCGAAGTCCACCTGTACAAAAATAAATAAGTGAAATGACACCAGTGAGTCTTCTAAGTTCTAAGCTGATATGGAAGAAGTGTGCAGAACAGTGAGAAATAATGGAGTAACTGTACAATAAATATGATGCTCTCTTTTGTCTTTTCTAGAATGTCTCTTTGGACAAGGCATTTATTTTTCTGTGGTTGCTGCCCATTCTGTGATCTACGCCAAACCAGATCCCCAAGGGCTCCGATACATTTTTCAAGCTCGAGTTCTTACTGGGGAATATAGTTGTGGAAAAGAAAATATGGTATTGCCTCCAGTGAAACAAGAGGGAAATGGTCTCTATGATAGTTTGGTGGATGTCCTTTTCAATCCAAATATTTTTGTGATCTGTTTTGATGATTTCGCTTACCCTGAATACTTAATCACCTTCCGTGACTAGATATCTTCATAGCTGTTATGAAAGATGGGAATCTACTTCAATGGAATACAGCTGGAAACATGCAGATCCTTTGACTTGAAGAAGGAAGAAACAATTTCAGGCTGTATATAGTGTATTGCTTGAGGGGAGATTAGGAAGGATAATGAAACATGCAATTTAATTTCAAGTGGAGATCTTAAGGATTTATGTCAGGAACGTAGAAATGAATTGTACCGTTCCTAATTTATCCTCCTTCTGGCTATTGCTCATTTCTACTTCCAATATGTCAGCTTTTCTAAAATCCACATGTAAACAATAAACATTATGCAGTACAACTATTGTTTTGGGGTTTTTTTTGTCCATAACACTAATGTAAAGTTGTAGAGGGTTTTGAAAATTGGGGGTCTACTGCATTTGCAGAAAGAAATAATTTTGGGGTAGTTCTGCTTTAATCCTTGCCATATTTTCAGTCAATTAGGCCAAAAGTATAACGCGTGACCAAACATTGCCTTCTGTGAATCTTCAGGACTGCAGAATCTAGGATATATTTCTTTAGATGGATGGATAGATGATCCATAAAGGTAAAGGTAAAAATTTCCCCTGTTGAGCTATGTCTGACTTTAAGGGGCAGTGCTCATCTCAATTTCTTGGCTGAGGGAGCCGGAGTTGTCTGAAAATATTTTCGTGGTCATGTGGCCAGCACGACTACATTGAAACACATAGAACATTGTTACTCTCCTGCTGAAGTTGTACCTATTTATCTACTCGCATTTGCATGCTTTTGAACTGCTAGGAGGGCAGTGGCAAGGTCCTATATATACTAAAATACTGTATATTTGAATGTGCCATTGTATTAGTAAATCGTCACTGGCAATATAATTTGTTCTGCCCAGAAGTAAGAGTTGGTAAGTCAAACCACCACTGTACAGCCAGCATAGAGTGAACTTACTCCCTTACTCCTTTTCATATTTTATCACTTCTTCCCCACCTTTTTTTATAAGTTACATTTTCCACCCATAGAAATATATCAATATTAATTTAATTTTTACCTTTTTCCTCCAACAGTCTTGGAGTCAAGGAGCAAAAGGCTTGAAGGACATCTTAGCATTGGGCAAAGATGATCAATTGCAAATATAGGTAGTCCTTGACTTATAATGGAGCCCAGTATTTTCATTGCTAAGTAAGACAGTTAAGTGAGTTTTGCCTCAATTTTCCATTCCTTGCCACAATTGTTAAATGAAGGGCTGCAGTTATTGTTAGTTATACGGTTATTAAGAGAAAAGGGAATGATATGACCTCAGGACACTGTAAAAAAGTCATAAATATATGTTAGTTATCAAGCATCAGAATTTTAATCACATGACCATGGGAGATGCTGCACCAGCTGTAAGTGTGAAAACAGTCACAGGTCACTTTTTTCAGTGACATAATCGGGTCTTCAAACTTGACAACTTTAAGACTTGTGGACTTCAACTCCCAGAATTCTTCCTCCAGTCATATTAGTTCAGGAATTCTGGGAGTTGAAGTCCACAAATCTTAAACTTGCTAAGTTTGAAGATCCTTGCTTTAAATGATCACTGAATGAATTGTAAGTCAAGGACTTCCTTTATTTTACTACTGCCTGGCAATTGTATAAAAAAAGCCTTAGTCATTAAGAAAAATGTCAGTTAAATTGGTTTAACTCTTAACAGAAGTTTACCCTGTTGTATTTCAACAGTTTTATAAAAAGTAAACGTTACTCTTGAAGCAATTCAAGCACTAATGTTTTTATAATGCAGAGGGTTAAGATTTCTTCTATACCAGTAGAAATAATACATTTAGCAGCAATTCTGTAGGAACCATGTACTGTTTCTTGGAGAAAAAAATAAGACTCCCTTTTGGCATTTCTTCAAATGAACCCAATTGTACGATTAGTGAATAGAAAATGTAAAATAGTCTGATTTTTTTTCTTAGTATTTTAAGTTGATTCTCAGGACGATCCAGAATGAAGAACCTCTGTTCATCCTCACATTGAAATATCCACTCCAAGTCTTAATTGCTCTCTAAAATTATTCTAGAAAGATAATATTTGTGAGTTGGCTATTAAAAGAAAATTCAATGTTTTAAAAAAAATGCTAAAATTACCTGATGTAAGCAAGCATAATTTTTATAAGTGTTCTTCATTTAATGACACTCATGTAATACGACTGTACAATAATTCACAACACCAAGATTTTGCAAAGCAAATTAAAAGAATTAGAGTAACCATATTATGCATAACTGTAGCATAAGCATAGATATATTTTAGGTACTGTTCATTATTTATTCAGTTTTTGCATCCATGGTTGAAGAGAACAAAGTGTAGTATTATGAATGATTCCCCCCTCCCGGATTTAATTTAAACTTTCTACGAAACTCGCAATCTCTAATCGTAGTTATTCTCTGATTTAGCATTACAGTAGCTAGCACTAGCACTAGCCCTTAGATTTATATGCCACTTCATAGTGCTTTGGTAATTATGGTAATTAATATGATGCTTTGAAATTCCACAAAAGAAACAAGGTGGTATGTCAAGTCTTTCTAGCTTTCCTTTGTCATACTTTATATTAAAAAGGTTGCAAAATAAACTCTAAAGAATATAATTATTTGAAAATAATTATTGGTAATTCTCCCCCAACACACAAGATCTGTTATCTGGATATGCACGCAGATACATGCATTCTAAGTTGCTAAGATATCTTTCAAGATTGTACCCTTAATTCATTATCTGAACCATAAAAAACCCAATCACTTTGGTTATTAATTTTTTGTTTGCCATCTGTATCATTTCTCTAACCTAATCTTAGCAGAGTATTATACTTCTGATTTTGAAATCTTCTACAAGCAGCATCTGCTCTTTCAGTGTATTGGAATGCTCTATTTGGAAATCTGCCCAAATTCCAGAGTGATGAAGTAAAAATTGGGGCATCTTAATATAATGTGGAACTTTTTAAATCAGACACCCAATCCTTCACATACATGCACTCTAAGTGCCACTTCTGACAATGGCTGTCATTGGGTGAAGGCATATTTGAAGTTTTGCACATTTACAGACCCATTGATTCATATTGTATCAGTAACTTAAATACAAATAGCTATTGGATGTGATATAGCAAAAGTAATATACAAAATAATAAATTAACAGCCTTCAAAGGATCATAATGATGATGAAATACCATATAGAAAAGATTCTAACCATATTTAGAAGTTTAGAAAATATTAAAGGATGCATTTAATCTCATAAAAATACAAATATTTATTATTTATTTGTTTCTATTCTACCCTGGTTTTTCTCCAAGAGGTAACAATACCACTGTTTAGATATTTTGTTCTGCATAATAACCTTTGAGATAGGTTCAATCAAGAGATAGGTCACATCAAATAGAGTTTACTTTCCTTGCAGTCCCTTTACCAACAACCTGATTATTTCTGTACCATACAGATGGTGTTCAATTGACAACCATTCATTTAGTGACTGTGCGAAGTTATGATGGCCCTGAAAAAAGTGACTTGTGATGTCCTCTCACATGACCATTGCAGCTTCCCTACTGGACATGATCAAAATTCAGGTTCTTGGCAACTGGCATATTTTACATCAGCTGCAAGGTCCTGGGCAGAGGTGGTATTCAGTGAGTTCTGACCAGTTCTGGCGAACCAGTAGCAGAAATTTTGAGTAGTTGGCAAATACCACCTCTGACTGGCCCTGCCCCCATCTATTCTCTGCCTCCCGAGTCCCAGCTGATAGGCTGGGTCTTCTTTTGTTGCCCTGCACAGGAGAATGGAGCTGAAAAGCAGGTTAGTGGGGTGGGGAGGGAATGGGATTTTGCAGTAACCTTCCCCTGCCATGCCCACCAAGCCATGCCATGCTGACCAAGCCACACCCACAGAACCAGTAGTAAAAAAATTGAATCCCACCACTGGTCCTGGGATCAATCATCATGTGTGCACCATCCCAGCCTGCTTCCAGCAAGCAAAGTCAATGGGGGAGGCCGGATTCACTTAATTGTGTGATTCACTTAACAACCATGCCAAAAATGTCATAAAGTTGTGAATCATTTAAACTGCTTTGCTTAGCAATGGAAATTCTGGATCCAATTGTGGTCATAAGTCTAGATAGTCCTCGACTTACAACCATAATTAACCCCAACATTTCTGTTTCTCAGCAAGAACAGCTGATAAGTGAGTTTTGCTCCATTTTACAACCTTTCTTGTACAGTTGTTAAGTGAATCACTTAAGTTATTAAGTTAGTAACACGGTTCTAAAGTGAATCTGGCTTCCCCATTAACTTTGCTCGTCAGAAGGTTGCAAAAAGAGATTAAATGGTGCGGGGTCACTAAAACCGTCATAAAAATGAGTCAGTTGCCAAGCAGCCAAATTTTGATCACATGACCACTGGATGCTGCAACATTTGTAGATGTGAAAAACGGTCATAAATCACTTTTTTCAGTGACGTAAGTTTGAATGGTCACTAAACCAAAGATTGTAAGGCAAGGACTCCTTGTATCTTTATTGTGTCTATTATTTGCACATTTGCAACCACAGGTCTTCTTATGAGTAACACAGCTAAGTTAACAAACAATACTTTTGTTGACCTCTCTCTATTTTTGTTTTTGTTTTTAACTGTATTGGGTCAAGCATTATCCGATGTCAGCAAACAAGAGAAAATAAAGAAATAACATCTATGCTTCTTCCTCTGAGTTTTCATCTCTAGTCTATTAATCATTTGAGAGAAGTAGTTGCATTATTATGCTTTTTCACGATTAATAACCTATAAAATGTATAATCGTGACCATAATTTGTAAGGTGTATAGTTGCAAACCAAATTTCCCTATTCTTTATAATCTATTAAGCAAAATGCAGGCAGGACCAATGAATGGCTCCCAAAGAGGAGGAAGAGGCGGGACTTGAGCATCTGCCACTTTCTGTTCTCCTTTTCCCTCCTTTTCCACTCACTTCCCACATGTTGCTCTTCTTTGAGAGAGAGAGAGAGAGAGAGAGAGAGAGAGAGAGAGAGAGAGACTGTCCCTTCAAGATTCTGGTCTCCATAGCAACCTAATCCGGCCTGCAAAAACACCTGGATGGCCTTGAAGGGGTCCACTCTGACCTACAAGATTTCGCCCATTTTACAAAATGGCTGCGGGTTAAAAAACGCTTCTGGTCTGGGCGCTGCTCTGTCTTAAGCACTGTTGGGCCAGGCTGGAGGATCTCAAGGGGTCTCCTTATCTATTTCTGGCAGAGCTGTGCCTCTTGGTTTCTCTTCCATAAATTTGCCATCCTCCTTGCCCTCATATTAAGAAAGGAGGGCCTGAGTAGCTCACGCTTCCTTTCCCCACTTCAGGACTGCTATATAAAAATTACATGGAGCTCGCCTAATTCCCTCACTTTCCAGGCATTTTAAGTGGGTAAAATAAAAATAAATGAAACATTTTATTTAAAAAAAAAGCTCTTGAAAATGAGGGTCAATATAGGGAAAAATAAGAACAGGATATATATATATATATATATATATATATATATATATATATATATATAAAGAGAGAGAGAGAGAGAGAGAGAGAGAGAGTGTGTGTGTGTGTGTGTGTGTGTGTGTGTGGTTACTGTCTTTGGGTTGTTACAGACCTGGATAACGTGGCAAACATTTTCAAGTGCTTTTAAAGCTGAATGTATTTTCCCCACTTATTAATGAAAAGAAGAAACGACTATTAATATTAATAATGTCCACTGACATTATTAATAGTCATTTATTCTTTTCATTAATATAAAGTGCACCATTCTCAATCATCTAGGTCTTGGTTGTCCCAAAGATGCTTTTTTTCCAAAAGGCAACTGGATTTACTTGGTTCTTTTTTTCTCTTTGAAAATATTTTGCTTCTCCTCACAAAAACTAATTCAGTTCTTAGAAATGCTTTCAAAAAGAAAAGTAAACTAAGAAAGTCCAGTTGTCTTTTGGAAAAGAGCACCTTTGGGATGACTGTTAATAATCTATTTTTAATTTTCTAAGCTGACCCGGTTTTCATTAAATAACTCATCATAATTTTTATAGTCATTCAAATCTCTTCATTCTAAGCCTGGGAGTTTAGAGAAAATGCTTCATAAAGCCATGGTTTATCATATTGATTACCTCAAGGCTTTATTTATTTAGTCATAGTTAGAACCAGTATTTTTGAGGGCTTTTAGGAAGGATAGGGCAAAATAATAACATAGAGGCCCAAGTTTTCTAAAAGGACACTTTGTGACACTCAAATGGATCTTCCATGTTGAGAAGCAGTATGCTGCTAGTGCCTGGAAACAACTGTAGTAAGAATTCTGCTTCTGTTTTGCTGCTTTGTGCACTTGTATGAAGGAATTATCCAGGGTGACAAAGTTTAGCTCTTTAATAATCAGCTGGAGAGATGGTTGTGATGGTGGAGGTTAGGGAATTAAAGAGATGAAATTGGCACCTTAAAACTCTGCAAAATTTAAAATATTGTTCTAAAGATCCCATAACAAAGAGGTGGAGATGGAGGGCACAAGGTCCATATGAGCCATGGTGGCGCAATGGTTTGAATGCAGTATTACAGGCTAATTCTGCCAGCTGCCATCAGTTCAATTCTTACCAGCTCAAGGTTTACTTATCCTTTCATCCTTCCAAGGTTGATAAAACAAAGACACAGATTATTAGGAGCAATAGGCTGACTCTGTAAACTGCTTAGAGAGAGCTGTAAAGCACTGTGATATAAGTTTAAGTGCTATTGCTATCTTCTTAGCCATACTTTTATAGCCTTGTTTTGAAACAATACTCTGGAGTCTAAAGTATCTCTTCATTATTTCTGTTTTCACCAAATTAATTCTTTCAGATATATTGGACTAGCTCTTATGGTCAAACTGGTTGGGAATGACAAAAACAGTACTTCAACAGAATTTGGAAGGCAACTGGGTTTGTTTGAGGCAGGTTGTTTTGCTTCATTTATTTTATTTGATTCACCATATCAATTTATATTTCTTTGATTATTTAGATGTTGCAAATGTGTTTATTAGCTTTATTATATTGCCATAAGGGATGCTGGGAAATGTAGTTCAGAAGATTTATGTGTGCTCTTGTACTATAATAGCAAATGTGTTTGTGTTTGAAGGGGGGAAATGGTTTTAAACCCTTCTGAATGCCAGTTCTGAGTCTGATCAACTGACCATATTTTTTTCCTAAATTTACGTCTGTGCTAAGGCTAAACCGTATAAGAAGTCTAAAAACATTGACAGTAATATACTGTATTTTTCCCTATCAATGCGATACTGTATAGTGACTACTATGTAACTGTTCTACAGAATCCTTTGTAATACATTTGCCTTGGCTGCAGCAATATGTCTGTCTGTGAGGATATGCTTCTTTGCAATTATCGCAAATGTCGTGTCAAGCTTTCAGGCTATGCGTGGGTCACAGCCTGCTCACATATCTTCTGTGACCAACATGGCAGTGGAGAGTTCAGCCGATCGCCAGCAGTCTGTCCAGCTTGCACCAGTGCCCTCTCTGGCAAATTGGATATTGTTCGAACAGAGCTCAGTCCTTCAGAGGAATATAAAGCCATGGTATTAGCTGGGTTGCGCCCAGAAATTATTCTAGATATCAGCTCCAGGGCTTTGGCTTTCTGGACTTATCAGGTAAATTATATCCAGTAACAACAGTTTGAGTTAGAAATAATTCTTTACTTAAAAACTACCTGGGTATTCTGCCCCTAGATATATTTAGTCTGAATGTTTTTATAATTTTTATTGTTTTTAAAGATGTTCAGTATTTTTAATTGTAATACACAAACACAGACACATACACACACTTTTGTTTTTAATTGTAAACCGCCCAGAGTCATTGATTGAGATAGGAGGTTATGGAAATGGAATAGATAAATAGATAGATAGATCAATTTAGGATTAAGAATCTCCATAGACACATAGAATGCTGAATTGAACGACAAAAATAATTTCATCCAAATCTTCCCAAATCTTACTCCTTTCTACAGGTAGTCTTCAATTTACAACAGTTCGTTAATGACCGTTCAAAGTTACATGGCACAGAAAAAGTGACTTATGACCATTTTTCACAGTTACAATCTTTGCAGCATCCCCTTAATCATGTGATCAAAATTCAGATACTTGGCAACTGGTTCATATTTATGACTATTGCTGTGTCCCAAGGTCATGTGATCCCCTTTTGCAACTTTCTGACAAACAAAATCAACAGGGAAGCCAAATTCACTTAACAACCATGTTACAAACAACTGCAGTGATTCACTTAACAACTGTGGCAAGAAAGGTCATAATATGGGGCAAAACTTGCTTAACCAATGTCTCACTTAACAGCCTAAATTTTGGGCTCAATTGTGATTGTAGGTAGAGGACTACCTGCACTTATTCTTTTTATCCATGTAGGTCCATCAAGAGCGTTTGTATCAAGAATATACTTACAGCAAAGCAGAGGGCCATCTGAAGCAGATGGAGAAAGTCTATACCCAGCAACTCCAGAGCAAAGATATGGAGCTAATATCAATGAAGAGTGAAATCTCTTCCTTAAAGAAAGTATTGGAGGAATATAAAAAGAAATTCACCGAGCTCTCAGAGAAACTCATGGAGCGTAATCGTCAGTACCAAAAACTGCAGGGCTTGTATGACAGCCTGAGATTACGGAATATTGCTGTAGCCAATCAGGAGGCAAACCAAGGGGCTCCCATGATGCCTCAACCTGCTGTCTTTGGTTTCCCTCTGGGTAAGAACGGTGACTTTTAGTATGATCCTTCACAAGCACTTCAATGACAGGGTGATTAATGCTTGGGTGTCATCCATGCACACAGAACATTATTAAAATGACTCAGAACTGATAAGGACGCTAGACATTAGACAAGTATGTGGCAAGTATTATATGCTATGTTGTGCTCCTATTAATAACTTACCAAACATCTGGCTTTCCTAACAATTTAAAGATGTATTATCTCAACGTTGTGGTTAACTAGAACTTTTAATTATCACATTTCACTAACTGTTCTCTACTTACATTGTGTCAATGCACCACCATAAGGAAAATTACATTTGCCTTTTCTGATTATGTTTTTTTTCTGATTACGTGCATGCACTGCATCATACTAAATATGCACTGCATCATACTAAATCCATCAATAGATTGCAGTGCACAACTTAAAGAAAAGCAGTGTGTTGTTTTGTCTTGGGGTTTGGGAATTGTAACCTGAAATGTAAAAATTAATCCTATTAACTTTTAGATATTATTTTGAATCTAAGCTATTTTAAAACCATCTGGATATTAAGTGTTTTCAGAATAAACACAGTGCCAATTGATATTTGCATGTTATCTTGTCTGGAGCAAATAGCTTTGGGAGTTTTTTAAATTGGAAAACTGAGAAATATTTTTTTTTAGCAACTTCTTCCTAGCATCTTCTGATTCCCACCGTCTGTAGCTGTAATATGGTTTACTTTAAAAATAAAGAGAGATTCCGCTTAAGGATCTCCCACCTGAGAGTAATCTGGCCCTTATTATGGGTATGTATGTGGTTAACAATGCCATTTTTTTCCAGGGGAGGAAATTTAAGCCCTACTCTAATATCATGCCTTTCACTCATATGTTCTAGGTAACGCTGCCAGGCTCACTGAGAACACTACACCTATCCAGGGCCAGCATGGTGAGGGGGACTTCCATTTCAAACCTTTCTTTGCCTCCTCTTCACCCATCGGCGAGTCTGCCAGTGGCTTCTTTTCCTTTGCCTCTCCTGACAATTTGGAACACTACACAGGAGGCAGCAGAGCGTATAAAATTAAGAGAATGTAAAGCCAAATGTGCATTTCAATTTAATTGCAGAACTTTCTGAAAATCCAATACCGTATTTATGGGCCTGAGGTTTCAAACCAAACAAAATCTCAAAGCTAGAAACCAAATTTTCATTATATCAGTGAATGTCAAATATTTCCCAAGTCATGTCATATGTTAAAGCAAGAGAGGGACACCTTGCAAAGTCAATATTCTTTTGAACATTTAGATAGTGTACTGGGTTACTGTAGTTTACATGTGCATGAGTTGTTACAGTATAAATCTTGTCGTTGTATCACATAGCAACCTCCTTGTAAACACAATAGTTCCGACACATTCTCAGTGATTTAATTATTATGCATTATGATTCAGGTTAATTAGTGCTCAAATTGTTTATTTTAACAAATGTGTTATAATGTTTTAATCCATTGATGACTGTTTTCAACTCTCATATCTTAAAGTAGCATATTTTCTTCTATGGGTGTGTAAACATATTTGCAAGGATTTGTTTCTTTTGTTCATTGCTACTTCTAAATAAAAATATATGGAGGGAAAAGTTATTACCTGTGTGTGTACATTTCTATTGGTATAAACATCTGTGGATATCCTTTTTGTGTTTTGTGAGTAAGCATAAAGCGCTTCTGATCATTAAAAATAGTCCCCCCTCCTCCTTTACCCCTTGGATGTCAAGGGAGAATCCTTTTATTAGTTTCTTTAAATGGACCTAAATTATGAAGGCTGCGTTGCTTCAAGCACTTTATCTGTTTGAAAGGATTGGATTATAATCGTCCATGATTTTCTCTATGTTGGATTATAACATGTAGAATATCTCAAATGGGCATTAAATTAGTAATGATTATTAAATCCATTTATTTTAATGGGTTTATGGTAAATGCAAATCTTGATCTCACTGTAACTCATTACATTGCTTTGTCCTTACACTTCCAGAATCACCCGATCAAAGGAAAGTTAAGATGGGCAAAATGGACCTAAAAAGCATTTACTGCTTAAAATGAAATCTCATAAGAGTGGGCTGATATAGAAACATGGACAATGAGGAAATTTATTTATATATTTGTATCCTGCCTTTATTATTTTACAAACAACTCCAAATGGTGAACATATGTATTTATTTCTACTCCAGTTTTATTAATGTATTTATTTGTATTCCAACTTTATTAATTCCAACTTTATTAGTTGAAGGGGTTATTAAATAACCCCTTGCTCAAGCAGAAGCGTCTACCATTTCAGACAAATTGCTGTCCAATCTCTTTTTTAAAACCTCCAGGGATGGACTTCTTTTAAAAAAAGAATTTTTGGAGTTGAAGTCCACTCAAACTGCTGAGGCTGAGAGACACTGATCTAAGCAGAATCCTTGCTTAGAATACCCTCCAGAAGTTTGTGAGTGCTCTAACATTGGAGGTTTTAAAGAAGAGATTGGACAACCATTTGTCTGAAAAGGTGTATGTCCTCCTGTCTAAACAGAGGGTTGGACTAGAAGACATCTAAGGTCTCTCCCAACTCTCTATTCTGTTTTGTTCTGTTCTGTCCAATTTCTATTCCATTCTGTTCTATTTTCTAGTCTATTCTATTTTCTAGTCTATTCTCTATTCTATTTTATTCTCTAGTCTATTTTCTATTCTCTAGTCTATTCTATTCTATTTTCCTATTTTCCTATTTTCTATTCTATTCTATTTTCTATTCTATTCTATTCTGTTTTTCTATTTTTCTATTCCATCCCATCCCATCCCATTCTATTGGAAAAACTAGGCCAAGGATTTTGCCATGATTGCTAAGTGAATCATTAAGCAAATCCATCTTCCTCCATTGACTTTGCTCGCCAGAAGCCAGCTGGGAAGGTTGCAAATGGCGACCAGATGACCCCGGGATGTTGCATTGTAAATATACACCGGTTGCCAAGCGCTCAAATTTTGATTAAATAATCGTGGAGATGCTTTGACGCTGATTAAGTGTGAGGACCAATTGTAAATCACTTTTATTTTCAGTGCTGTTACAACTAGACGAGGACGGGGTTGGACTAGAAGACCTCCAAGGTACCTCCCAACTGTTATTCTTATGAAAATGAGGCGGGGAGGGGGGAGCGTAAGCGACAGGGCGAAGGCCTCTTCCTCCCCCCTCCGTCTGGACTGCTTAGATTCCTCCGAGCCTTTAGAGGCCTCTACCTCCCTCCGTGCTTGCAAGCCTGAGAAAGAGGAAGAAAAGCAGGAAAGGGAGGGCGGAGGCCTCAGCGAACATGGCCGAGGACGAAGAAGAGAACTCGCAAGCCCGGCAACGTCTGCAGGTATAACGACGAGCAAAAGAAGCTATTCTTCCCTTCTGCATTTTAAAAGCCACGATTAAAATAATCCTAATAATAGTAAGAAAATTCCCGCGTCTCTGTTCTGGGGAAGAGACGGAGCAAAGCTCCAGAGCTTTCCCGGATTTATGAAGGCAGGTAAAAGTAACCGAAGGGTCGCAGGACCCGCAAAGCTAAGCGGCGTTTTAAGAAGTCGCGGACGAGAAAAAAGCAGGGCGGTTGGCGCCATTTATCCTTTTATCTGGTTTAGTAAATGTAGGCAGTGTGGATGAAGTAGGCAGAGCGGGCGGGTGGTGATTTAGAAGTTGAAATACATTTAGAAAGGGATTGGCAAGGTGTGTTTGCCCTCCTGCTTTGTTGGAGGTAAGGCTGCCCCTTTCTAGGTTTTGATTCCCAAGATGTCAGAATTATCAGAGAAATTTGCTCTTAATTGTTGTGTCCGGTGTAAGCCATCCTTTCAGACCTGGCAATCTTTGGGATCAAAGATTTCTGGGTTAATCTGTGGCCTATTCCATGAGGAGTTAAATGCTGGTTGGTTTTGTAACCTAAAAATAGTGGTTCTGTGCGGTATAGTTTGAATTAACTTTTCTCCTTTCCCATAAAAAGTTGTGCTTGACTGAGCGATGTACGTTAAATGGAGGACTGATTTACCTGATTGTATTTTGAATTTTCATGTTTATTTATCTGTTACTAAGTCAACATAGCGATAGGCATTTTATTGGTGGTGCTGCCAGGTTTGCACGGAATGGATGCAATAAATTTCAAATTGGGCAATTACATTTTAGCTTAGAGACTGATAAATGCTTAGTTTATGGTGTGCAACCTGGGTTTGCCAGTTTGGCAATTGCATCACAAATGTCAGTGAATTTTGTATCAGCAAGACATCCCTATTGGGAGATCTGATAGTATTTATCCATTTATGAATAGGAATTGGTTGACCACCTGTATCATTTCCGAGATCATTATTTTGAGAATCACAGTGTGGAAGATGCTGGGAAAAAACAACAGGATGTTCAGGAAGAGATGGAGAAGACTCTTCAAAAAATGGAAGCCATAGATGGTAATTCACACATAACTTGCATTTCCGTATCTTCATCTTAAGGCATCTGTTTTGTTTCATTACTAGATCCCTCAAATATACTACTCATAATGTCCATGTATGACTTCTCTTAGCCTTTTAGCAATCAAAAACAAGCTTGTAGCCTTGACAATGGATCATTCATGCATCCAGATAACAGATAATCAGAATTGGAAGGGACCTTGTAGGTCATCTAGTCTAACTCCCCGCCCAAGGGGGAGACCCTACACCATTTCTGACAGATGGCAGTCCAATCTCTTCTTGAAAGTTTCAAGTGATGGCGCTCCCACAACTTCCGAAGGCAAGGTGTTCCATTGGTTGATTGTTCTCACTGTCAGAAAGTTTCTCCTTATTTCCAGGTTAAATCTCTCCTTGTTCAGTTTCCATCCATTATTCCTTGTCTGGCCTACAGGCGCTTTAGAAAATAGCTTGACCCCTTCCTCTCTGTGGCAACCCCTCAAATATTGGAAGACTGCTATCATGTCTCCCCATACTGATCTGTCCCAGTACTTATGACGGATGCATTCATAGAATTGAATATGTTTGAGTCTAGTACCTTGATAGAAGGTAGGAAGTTGTAAGAACAGAGCAGGCAGAGCTGGAGCAGGAGTTAAATGCATCATCAGTTTAGAATCTTTGCATTGTCTTAAGATTGCTTGAATTGCTTGAATTCCACTAACCCTTATCTAGTGCCAATTTGGTGCTGACTGTTAGTTGACCAGATTCTTGTGTATAAGCTTCAATAAATCATTTATGCACCTGCCTACATGAATGGTCCTGATTCTTTACACTTGACACAAGTAGATCTGACAAATAATTATAGTATAATCCTTTCCCCCCAAACATCCAATCCCAGATACCAAAATTTTGTTCATTTCATTTTTGATACTGTAATTCTTCATTACCTGGCTACCAAAAGTCTTTGTTGTTTGTTTATTTTAAGTATACATTTAAAAAATGTGTGTGGTCACCCATCTTAAAAGAATTCTGGGCTCTCACAACGACAGTAAAATGACAAAAAGCATAATAACCATAGAAGAAAAAAATAAAATAAGAGCCATGGTGGCGCAGTGGTCAGAATGAAGTACTGCAGGACTAACTCACTGCTCACTCCAGGAGTTCGATTCTGAGCGGCTCAAGGTTTACTCAGTCTTCCATCCTTCTGAGGTTGGTAAAATGAGGACCCAGATTGTTGGGGCCACTATGTTGACTCTGTAAAACTATTTAGAGAGGGCTGTAAAGCACTGTGAAGTGATATATAAGTCTAAATGCTATCACTAACTCTGTCCACTGCCAGGAGTTTGATCCTGCCCAGCTTAAGGTTGACTCAGCCTTCCATCCTTCCGAGGTTGGTAAAATGAGGACCCAGATTGTTGGGGGTAGTATGCTGACTGTAAAACTACTTAGAGAGGGCTGTAAAGCACTATGAAGTGGTATACAAGTCTAAGTCCTATTGCTAAAACCTGGTGCTTCAACCAATCTTCCAGGGTGCCCCAACAATTCACCCCTCTATCCTAGTCCCTGGGTAAAAATCCAAGTTTTAATGGCCTTCTGGAAGGTTAAGAAAGTGGGGGCCTGTCCGATTGTAGGAGGCAGGATATCCCATGGAGACAGCCATAAAAATGGCAAGCTTCCCAGGTTCTCTTGACGGCCAAATGAGGCCTGGAACTTGCTTATCCTATCCAATCTAGTGAGCGAGGTAAATACCTTCAGGGAAAGCCTGACTCACAAAATAGCCTGGTCCCATGTCATGTAGCGCTTTAAAGCACTTTGAATTGCACCTGAAAGGCACCTGGAAGCCAGTGCAACTCACACAACAGGGTTGTAATGTGGGCCAATTCCAACACTGTGTGCAGCTTCGTTCTGGGTCAGTTGTAACTTCTGAGTGGTTTTCAAGGGTAGCCCCACATAGATTGTGTGTAGCTAGTCTAGATCCTATTTCCCATAATGAGCCATCAGATGCTTCTGGGAAACCGTCAACAAACACACACACACACACACACACACACACACACACATTGCATTTAGAAAGTATTCAGACCTCACTTTCGTTATGCTGAAGCCTGATTCTACAGTTGTTGAAATTCATTTTTTTCTTATTTTTCTTATTAGTACCTTGAAAGAAAAAGTGAAAACAGAATTTTAGAAAGATCTGTAAATTTATTAAAAAGAAAAAAATGGAAATATCATTGGTAGAAGTATTCAGACCTTCATCGGCAGCTTCCCTCAAGCATCAGCGATGGGAAATCCTTCAGGAAATTGCAATTCGTGGTCACGTCATGTCACGTCATGTGATTCATACAATGTAATAATCATAGTGGAACGGATATAACTCTGGTGCAGTTGAACGTCATTTTCCTTAACAGATGTTTCACTGTATGACACAGTTGCAGTCCCAATTGTGGGTTGTTAAATGAGGACTACCTGTATCGGCCTATCGGTTGATAGAATAAAAACCATGAAAGTTTATATCTGGAATTCAGATCAACATAGTTATCTGAAGTATATTGTGTATATCATTTGCTAGTTGTATGGTTTTTATATTGAATTATATCAGTGAGAAACATCTGTAATAATGGATGGAAACTGATCAAGGAGAGATTCAACCTAGAAATAAGGAGAAATTTTCTGACAGAACAATCAACCAATGGAACAGCTTGCCCTCGGAAGTTGTGGGAGCTTCATCACTGGAAGCTTTCAAGAAGAGACTGGACAGAAATGTGCCAGAAATGGTGTAGAGTCTTCTGCTTGGGCTGGGGGTGGTGGGGGTGGACTAGATGGCCTACCAGATCCCTTCCAACTCTGTTATTCTGTTAATATGTAGTTGATCAGTAAATGGAAGAGAGAAAAAAGACCTGCCAAAAAGAAATGTATGGTACTTACAGCTCAATATTAGGTGGACTTTTTTTGTTTTTGTTTTTGTTTCTTTTTTTGGATGATAACATATAGATGTTATCTCTTACTTTTATCCCCTCCACTTCTCCTAGGCCTCTCAGAAGGGCAAGCTTACACATTGATGCTTAAAGGAAAAGCTTTGAATGTATCAGCATACTATAACGCCCAGTCTGAAAAATTGCTCTCCAAAGCGGTCAAGCTGGACCCGGAATTGGTGGAAGCGTGGAATCAATTAGGCGAGGTTTACTGGAAAAAGGGTGATGTCTCGGCAGCTCATACCTGCTTCTCCGGAGCGCTTGGCCATGTAAGCTTCCCTTTCGGTTCTCTGCTATCAAAGCGTTCTTTTGTGTGAAGGATTGTTTGGAAACCTCTGGCTTTTCCAATGGCATTCTGTAGATCAAGTAAAATACTTCTCAGAGACAAAAAAAAAAATACAGGAAGTCCTTGGCTTATGACTGTGATGAACCCCCAAACTCCTTTCGCTAAGCAAGACAACGATTAAGTGAGTTTTGCCCTGTTTTTAACACCTTGTTTCCAACAGTTGCTAAGTGAATCACTGCTGTTGTTAAATTAATAGCACAGTTGTTAAGCAAATCCAGCTTCCCCGTTGACTTTGCTGGTCAGAGGGTCGCAAAAGGGGATCATGTGACCCCTGGGACATTGCAACCCTCATAAATAGGAACCAGTTGCCAAGCATCCGAGTTTTGATCATGTGACGATGGGGATATTGCAATGGTTATAAGTATAAGTCACTTTTTTCAGTCCTGTTGTAACTTCAAAGAGGTGGTTGCGCGTCTAAGACTTTCTGTATGCTGCAAACAATAATTTGGGTAAACGTGGATTCCTGATTTCAGACCAGAATCGAAACCAGAATTTCCATTGGTAAGCATGGTGGTTGTTAAATGAGTCGCACCAGATTTTATGACTTTTCTTGCCCTGGTTGTTAAGCAAATCACTGAAGCGTTAAGTGAATCATGTTAAGTGAATCATGTGACAATTCACCTTTCCCCCATTAACTTGCTTGTTGGAAGCCAGTTGGGAATATCACATATGGCAACCACATGACCCCAGGCTGCTACAACTATAGGTAGTCCTTAGCTTACAACAGTTCATTTAGTCTTTTAATGACCCCATAATCCCTTGCGGGGTTGGAGTTGGGACAATTGAATGGAGCTGAGTGTTTACTGGCCTTCCCTGTTGCCAATGCGGTGTTTGCAGCAGTCTCATTGAGCCCAGAGAGAGAAATATCAGCCTCTATCTAGAATCAAACTCACAACCTTCTGATTGTGAGGCGAAAGTTCCACCTCTAGGCCACCACACCACTCACAACAGTTCATTTAGTCCAAAATTACAAGGGCATTGGAAAAAAGTGACTTATGACCATTTCCCACACTTACGACCCTTACAGCATCCCCTTGGTCAAGTGATCAAAAATCAGATGCTTGGCGGCTGGTTCATATTTGTGATGGTTGGAATGTCCCGGGGCCACAGGATCAACTTTTGCGAACTTCTGACAAGCAAAGTCCATGGGGGAAGCCAGATTCACTTAACAACTGTGTGACTAACTGAACAGCTGCAGCAATTCACTTAACAACTGTGGCAAGAAAGGTCGCAAAATGGAGGCAAAAACTCATTTAACAATTGCCATGCTTTAGCAAATGTTCCCCTTTGCAATGGAAAGTTGGTGGTAAGTCGAGGGACTACCTGTATTGTAATTACATACCAGTTTGTCAGGTGTTTGAATTTTGATCATGTAACAGTGCAATAGTTGTAAATGCGAGGACTGGCCATTTCCCCCCCAATGCTCTGTAATTTCGAACAATTGCTAAATGAATGGTAAATAAAGCACTGCCTGCATTTGGATCTTATTAAGTCTTCGCTTTATACAGGAATCTCATCCTGTAGCCAAACTTATTTTTCCTTTCAGTGTAAGAACAAAGGCTCCTTGCAGAACCTCTCCATGGTGTTACGGCAGCTGCACACCACTTCTCCTGATGAACATGTACAAAACGTGATGGACAGCGTGCGGCAAGCCAAACTGGCTGTGCAGATGGACGTGCACGACGGACGCTCTTGGTGTGAGTTTTACTATGCAATCTATTAGCCTGTCCTGACCCAGACTTCGCGAGCGCCGCTTGTGAGGGGAGAAACCCCTTTTTATTTTAGAAAGGCAGGAATGCACGGTATTCACTGACAACGCCCCAGGTCACACACATCCTTAGGTGTTTCGCAAGCTGTAGCAGTCCCTGCAGGGAGCTTCAATTAGCATTTCAATCCCCACAACCTGGGCCAACCTGGATAGTAGAAAGAAATCCTGGCCAAGGAATCCACTGAAGGCATCTCTTCTGGAGCATGAACGGTTGTTGTGTCTCCCCCACTCCTCCTTGTATCCCAGGCAGGGAGAGGCTTGTCATCATGTCTCCTTCGTTTCCTGGATAGCTGACCCTCAGTCTTGCATTGCTGTCTTCTCCTCACTTCTTTGCGCATAAGCGCATCTGGAACGGGCCCCAGCTGTTCCTCCCCCTCACTTAGCTCACCCTCCCCCAAAAACAGTGAGCAGAGGAGCCCTGCCTTGCATCTGGCCCTGAGCCCTTCTGCTCCTCAGATGGTAAACCAGGCACCCCCTCCATCTCCTCTGACTCCGTGGAACTGGTAGTCAACGAATCACAACATAGCCCAGGCAGGGGATAGGGGCAGAAAAGGCAAGGGGATATGCAAGTGGCTAATTTTGTTTTCTTCATTCCACAGATGTGTTGGGCAACGCCTACCTCTCCTTGTTCTTCAATACAGGACAGAACCCCAAGATCTCTCAGCAAGCACTGAGTGCCTATGCTCAAGCAGTAGGTGCTGGCGGGGGACCCGAGACAAAGTTGTGGTATGGGGAGGAAGGGATGGTTGTACAAGTTAAGCCTCTGTAGTAAAATTATAGATCAGCGATTCCCCCAACCTTTCTGTCTTTGCAGACCAGCAGGGAGGGAAGGGGAATAGTTACGCCCAAATGGCGGGTGAGCACACCGGGTCTTCGAGGTCTTCTAGTCTAACCCCTTGCTTAAGCAGGAGATCCTATACCATTTCAGACAAATAGTTGTCCTGGTTCTCCAACAAATGACAATCAGGCGACCACAGGATATTACAACCATCGAGTGGAGTGGAGTGAATGGAATAGGAATAGAATAGACATAGACATAGAGTAGAGTAGACAAAGACATAGACCTAGAATAGAGCAGAATAGACATAGAGTAGAGTAGACATAGACATAGACAGACATAGACATAGACAGACATAGACATAGACTAGAGTAGAATAGACATAGAGTAGAGTAGAATAGACATAGAGTAGAGTAGAGTAGAGTAGAATATAGAGTAGAGTAGGCAGACATGGAGAGTTGGAAGGGACCTTGGAGGTCTTCTAGTCCAACCCTCTGCTCAGGCAGAAAGCTCTATACCATTTCAGACAAATGATTGTTTGTTCTTTTCTTAAAGTTTCCTCCAGTATTGGAAACACCCACAACTTCTGAAGGCAAGATTAATTCTTCTGTCAGGAAATTTCTCCTTAGTTCTAGGTTGCTTCTCACCTGGATTAGTTTCCATCCATTGCTTGTCCTACCGTTAGGTGCTTTGGAGAATAGGTTGAACCCCCTCTTGTTTTGAGGGAGGAAGAATATTCCTTGCAAATGAATTTGTTCTTTATATCTACCTGGCAGTGCTGATTGTGTGTGCTTTGTTTATTTATTTGTAACAGGAAAAGGTGGACTCCACTGCTTCTTGTAATCCAGATTTGCATCTCAATCGAGCCACGGTAAGGAAATGGAATAGAGAAGGCAACATGAAGTTGGTTAATGTATGAGTGATCCATCAAGAAAAGCTTTAGGATCATAGTTGGTGATTCCTAAGTGTAATGTGGCTAAGTTGTTGATTGGAAAACCACTTTCTTATTTTGGAGGGGTGGATCTTTGTTCTGATTGCTCACAATGAGGACATGATACCACCTCCTGATCTGATTTGGACTTGGAAGCTAAGTAGCTTTAGTATTTAAGAGAGTAACAGAGTTGGAAGGGACCTTAGAGGTCTTCTAGTCCAACCCCCTGCACAGGCAGGAAACACAATACTTTTCAGACTAATGGTTGTCCAATCTGTTCTTAAAAACCTGGGATTTGGATGAAGCACCATCAGCAATTCCCAGGATTGCAGGCAGATAATTAAAAAAATATGGAAAGGACAACATCAAACACAATATAACTCCCAGGATCTCCGTAAAAGTCTAGGAAAGTCACTGGAGCAGAAACCCTTGTTGACAGAAAGATGGGGAGCTGACTACAGGCAATCCTTGATCATTCATTGAGTGACCATTTGAAGATGCAACAGCACTGGAAAAAGTGGCTTACAACGGCATTTCACCCTCAGGGCCATTGTAGAATCTTCATGCTCACGTGATCAAAATTCAGACGCTTGGCAACTGACTCATATTTACAACAATTGCAGTGTCCCAGGATTGTGTGATCCCCTTTTGCGACCTTCTGACAAGCAAAGTTAATGGGGAAGCCACTTAACAACCGTGTTACTAGCTTAACAACTGCAGTGATTCCCTTAACAACTGTGGCAAGCCTGGCATTCTACAAGCAATCTCATTGTACACATGTACTTAGACAATAAAGGTAATAATAATAAATAATAATAATAAGCAATTCTATCAACAGACATACTTAGAACTTAGAATAACTTTATTGTCATTTAAATGTACACTAATCGGCATACATTAAAATGAAATTTCATTGCATACAGATCTCAAAGGGTCTAATATACACTACATAAACATCACACACACACACACACACACACACACACACACACACACACACACACATGCATGTATACACATACCCATATATATGATACAGAGAAACAACATGGTCTAATTTGGATGTATATATGTACATGGCAAGAAGAATGAATCTTGCGAGTTTACCAGACGGATGACATAGGGAACAGAGTTGTAATAGAATCAGGTACCCCTGCTGGAAATACTTTGAAGTCTCCTCTGAGAGGGGAGCAACAAACAGACCGTTGAGTGGGTGTATGGGGGTCTCTAACAGTATTTCAAGCTCTTAAGCACATAGCGCTTATAAGCAGCATCTTGTATAATGGGAAGCAAGCTTCTTATAATCTTCTCGTCTGCCCTTACCATTCTCTGTAGGGACTTTCTATCTGAGGCATTGCTGCCACCAAACCAAACAGTGATGCAATTGGTTAAAACCCTTTCAATCGTGCCTCTGTAAAAAGTGGCCAGGACAGAAGGAAAAAGATCTGATGTGGGAAATGCAATCCTCATCTGATGTGGGAAATGCAGATGCTGGTTTGCATGCTTATTAAGGGTGACATGGAGAGACCAATTTAGATTGTTGGTTATCTAAATTCATTATTAAGTTAGTTATATTAGTTATTGTTAGGTGCCTATTGACCTACAACCAGGGGTAGGCTTCAATTTTTTTAGCAAGGGGCTCTCTGCCCTAATGACTGGCTGGGTGGTCATGTGGCTGGGTGGGCATGGCTATGTGATCATGTGGTTGGATGGGCATGGCTAGGTGGTCATGTGACTGGGTGGGTGTGGCCAACTTGACATTGCTTTTTTGCCCTAATTATCTAAAAAAAGATATATACCAAAAAGTTGTTTATTATTTCATGCATTTAATACTTAAATAAAGGTTGAGTGAAACCAGGCTTAATAGCAGTGACTGTGAGGGGGGTCTTGGAGTCTTAGTGGAGTTTCTGATGAGTTACGTCATTCTTATTTGGGAATTAATCCCTTCAGAGGCAGGGCAGGGAGTTTCTAGTGGCTATATTATCTGATTTTATCAATGGCTCTCCCTCACAAGTGCTGAGTGGATTGTTTATCTAGCTTGCAACACTTACGAGGTATGAAATGCTCTTGGCTAAATGCCCAGAAGTTCAATTAAACCTATTAAGAGCTAGGGTTGAAAACAAAGACTCTGGGAGTTATAGTCAGTCAAACTAAGGTCTCAAGTACAGATATCCTTGAAAAGTCCCAGTTATCCATTGCTAAAGCATGATATTTGTTGAGTTAAGTTTTCCTCCATTTTATGACCTTTTCACGGTTGTTAAATGAATTGCTGCAGTTGTTAAGCTAGTAATGTGGTCATTCAGCAAATCTGCCTTCCCCGTTGACCGCTAGTCAGTAAGTCACAAAAGGGGATCGCGTGACCCTGGGTTACTGCAACCATCATAAGTACATGCCAGTTGCCAAGCGTTCGAATTTTGATCACGTGACCATGGGGATGCTGCAATGGTTGTAAGCGTGAAAAACGCCGTAAGTCACTTCCATTGTCGTCACCCTAACCAACCTTAACTTTGAATCTTTACTAAACGAATGGTTGTAAGTGAAGGATTACCTGTATATGGTTTTCATTTACAAATTAGGATGCTAGAGGTCTATGGAGATTCTCAGTCATCCAGATCATAGTTGTGCCACAGGTGCTTTTTTCTAAGAGGCAACTGGACTTTCTGGTTTTCCTTTGAAGATGTTTCACTTCTCATCCAAGAAGCTCTTCAGTTCTGACTGGAAGGTGGGGAAATGGAAGGATTTATTGCAGACAGCTGGTCATTTGCATCCTAAAAGAAAAAAAAACAAGACAAGGCTCAATTGCCTCCTGAAAAAGCACCTTTGGGATTAGGATGCTGAGTTTTTGGATCCTAGAGACAGGCTTCACTTTCACTCCAAGTTATCATCCATTGTTTTTTACATGGTTTGTGTGCAGCTTTTTAAGTATGAAGAAAACTACATGGAAGCCCTGGAGGGTTTTTCACGGGCCGCAGCTCTTGACCCGGCTTGGCTGGAACCTCAACTACGGGAGCAGCAACTCATGGATTTCCTTGAGAGACTTAATGGATTCCTGGAAAACAAGGTATTAAGGTTGAAAGACTTGGGGGGGTCTTTGCGGCTTTGCTCTGCATTTGGAAGGTTTCCCACTGGGTGGTCGAATGCATCAAGAAAGACACCAGGCTGGTTCTATCTCGGGTGAGCTGCCCCGATCACCAGCTCGGGAAGCTCTTTTATTAAAAATACATAGTGATACGTCACAAGCGGTGAACTCTATCCAATCATCATGTTACATGAGTAGGAATGTTAGTGGACACATAGTAGCATCAAATCACAGTGTTAGATGGTCAGTTTAGAAGGTACAAAGTAGCAAATCAGCGCCTGCAGTTCAGTTAGTACCCCATGGTGACGTGTTGCTGATTGATGTTCTTTGTTCCTGGTACATGTTTTCAGCCTACGTGAGGCCTGGCATGTACCGAAACTGTTGAAGCTGATTTATTACTGCATCTCCTCTGTTTTAGTTTTATATGGAGGAAATTCTTCTGGATCTTCGTCATTGCCCATGCAAAAACTTGTGCGAGTGCACACATCAGGGTCTTCTGAGGGTATGACTTTGTACAGAGGCTCCTTTTCCCAGAGGGCATTAACCTGTGCAATAGCGCGCTTTTCAGCTAACAAGGACAGACTATTGGATATAGTGCGAATAAAAATTGGTAACACACATGGAAGAATAACGCATCCTGCAGCAATCATACCTATGAGAGCTACTATGGCTTGTAATCCTGGTAGTTTTGGGAACCAGGAACTAAAAATATTTTTAAGATTAATACCTTGCCATACTTGATCAGGATTATAGGTTAATTGTCGCATCTCAGTTGTTAATTGTGCTACTACTTCGCCAACTTTATCAATTTGAAGACAACAATTCGTGAGATTGAACCTACTCACATACCCCTCCTTCTTTGGCTAGTATGTAATCTAAAGCTAAGCGATTTTGGTAGACAGCTGTGCGTAATTTGTCTGTAGCAGTCGCTAGAGTGTTTAGAGCCTTATCTATTCGTTGGCCTGCTAAATCTAAAACAGCTTGTAAATGAATAATTCTATTAATCATATATATGGGGGTTCTATGCCCATAGGACCCGTCTTGGGCCCAAGTGGCCAAGCCTAGGTGCAGACGATTCTCTCTCAGGTCCAGGTATCCCCTGTATATTCTGATTGACAGGGGAAGCCTGCAAAGGCATTATCAGTGTCTCTTTTCTTGCGGGATAATGTATCATACACAGGGATGCCTAGTTCTTGCTTAATGGAGATCGGTAGGAGAAAAAAGGAAGGTCTTATCCACCCCAATGCACATGATCCTTGCCAATCTGCTGGAAGAGATGGATAGGCTAGGTTACCACAAATCCAATACATATTATTTGGGGCTGTCCAAATTTGGGAAGATGTTGTGTCATTGAGATAAGGGAGGAGGGAGGTGTTGAATTTAGCAGGTGTGGTGGTAGCATTGTCAGGTGCTGTCCAAATCTGGTAGGAATTATCCCATGTACCTAAGCAAAGGAGGTGTCCTACTGGAGTGGACCCATTTCGGGAAAAGCAGTTTCTACCAATTACCGTATTTGCCGGCGTATAAGACGACTTTTTTGCCCTGAAAAACATGCCTCCAAGTGGGGGGGTCGTCTTATATGCCGGCAAATACGGGTATATTCTTCGCCTTGTTGGTGAGGAGGCTCGCTTCTCCCTCTCCTTGAGGTCATAGCAGGCGCTGGCGAATTGCAAAGGGTTCCTCGTAAAGTAGCTGCAGATCTCAGAGCGGGGACTTTGCATTCAGTTGTAGCCTTGAGCGCCGGGTTACCCGTAGCTCTGCCAGGGAGGGATTACGCCCCACAATCCGGCCGGCTCTCTCTCGCTGAGGTGGGGCGGAGGTGGGATGTGGGTCCCTACTATCGCTAAGGCTCAGCTAGAGGTAGCGCAGCTCTTGACCCGGCTTGCTCGGTTTCTTCCTTCCATTTGTTTTGCTTCGCTGGCGATTTCACCTTTTGTGGAGCTGGGCAAAGGGACTGATCGGACCCCACCTCTGGGGCTTAGACGTTACCCAGAATCAACCTGGTTTTCAGGCACGTCCTTGGATGGACTCGGGAAAGGCAGGTGGAGAGGCTAGAAAGAAAAAGGATCTGGAACTCCTTCTTTCCTGCCAGATCCCTGGCAAGCAGCGTTGGGTAAGACCAGGCAGGGCCTGGCGTTTTCTGAAAGGACTTGCCTGTTGAGTGACATCAGCTTCTGAACTAAAGCCCACTATGTCAGATACAATAAAGCAGAATGGGTGTCTTTTTCTCTTTAAAGACGAAACAGAGGTTGGGGGTGGGAAGAGAAGAAGGGGAGCGATTATGTTAAAATGACAACTTTCTAGATCCAGTCCCGAAGGGGGAAAGGAAAAAAACCACAAACGCCTAATTTCCTTAATTTCAGTGCGATTTCTCCTCTTTCTCACATCCCACATTGTCTTCTCTTGCTGCGGGGAGCAATGTCACCTTTTTACTCTGGTATCGATGGAAAAGCAGGTTTGGCAGCGGTATCAAGTAAAACAGGGATCCCCAACCTTTTCGACGCCGCGGCCCGGTTCCGGCGTCAGCTGGGCGCCGCGGCCCGGTTCCGGCGTCACCTGGGCGCCGCCATCTTTTTTTGACGAAAAATCACTTCCGGTGACGTCACCGGAAGTGATTTTTCGTCAAAAAAAATGGCGGCGCCAGCGCTTCCGGTGAGCTTTTTCGGGTAGAAATGGCTTTCTACCCGGAAAAGCTCACCGGAAGCGCTGGTGCTGCCATCTTTTTTGACGAAAAATTGCTTTTTTTACCAAAAAAAGATGGCGGCGCCCAGCAACCAGCGGCCCGGTAAGGCTTGTTCCGCGGCCCGGTACCGGTCCGCGGACCGGCGGTTGGGGACCCCTGAAGTAAAAGACAAGTGAAAGGCTGAGGAGGATTGACATCAAGATCAACTTATCTTCATTATGGGCAGCTTTGCAGGATAGTTCATATTTCAGTTCATATTTCAGTTCATATTTTAGCAAGCATAATTTAATGATAGTGGCTGGCAAGTCAAATCTTAGATGCATTGCTAAAATGGGATCTGCAAATGTGGGGTTTTCAGAAAGCTAAAGGAAGGGGAGTGTGGGTGTGAAAATTTGGATATAATTAATCATGGCTAGTTTAAAATGCAACATTGCCACAATTAATATCAGAGTGAAAATTATGCTTCTGCAGGCCCTATTTGTGTCTTTCCGGCTTAGCTGAAATAGAATTCTTTTAATAAAGTTGCCTGTCCATGACAAGTCATGGTAAATGGGTAATTTGAAATTTAGGCACACACACACATTTTATAAAACTATGAACTATAACCTGCTCTGAATCGGAAAATTACTTATGTTCTATTATTTGGCATACTTTCACAGCCTTGTGAGTTTTCCTGCATGTCATAAGCATTTGAATATAAATTAACATGTTGAAATCAAATCTGATGTTCTTTTACCTTTTATTTGGTATGTGGAAAGTGTGCGGAAGAGGGGGTAGTCTTATACGGCGAGTATATAACAAACTCTATATTTTGAGTGGAAATGTTGGGGGGTCGTCTTATACGCCCAGTCGTCTTATACGCCGGCAAATACGGTAAGTTGGTGGTAATTGTCCAGATAAGTGGATCGGAAACTGTTCTAGCTGTTATGTTTCCTATAGAAGACATGTTATTGAACAGTGATGGTGAGGCTTCTAAGGCTTGCCATGGCCATTGTTCCCCTGTGGTGGTTCCCCCACAGACAAAACAATTGGTTATTGCAAGTTGTTTTGCAATTTTTTCTGCCATATCCATGAACAAGTTTTTTGCAATAACACTGGTATCAGGGGCTTTATCTAATTTCCTTAAATTATTATATACCGACCAGTCTAACGATGTTTCCTTACCTTCATATATTATTTCGGTTTTTATGGTAATGTAAGTGTTTGGATCCGATCCTGTGCCATCGATCCCTATACCATAAGTATCCAAGGCAGGGTATTGTCTGGAGATGGTGATTTCTACCTTATTGTCTGTGGTAGACCCTGATATTCGTTTGAAATGTGACAGATGATTGCAGCCTGAGTACCCTCCCCTGGTATAATCACAGACACAAGACCAACCTGAGCACTCGATGGAACCTCCACAAGGGATCCATTGATTGGGGTTCCCTATGGCCCAGTTAATGGGTGTAAGACACAAATATTTATGATTGCGGGCGTACGTTGTTTTCCAGTCAATCGACCCGCATGAATGTCCCCCTGGTTTAGAACAAGCAACACAAACATCAAAGGTTAAAACTATTGGGTTAGTACCATCCTTGAGCACGGTGGTGTGGTTTAGGTAATAAAGTTTTCCCTCCCCCTCAGGATCAGATCTGCCAGAGGTTCTTGGAAGTCCCGCCCATAAGGTAACGTTGAGACGTACAGCTGTCTTGGGATCGTAGCAAATGGTTTTTGAGTTCATTTTACATAGATGGTACATGGTCCCGTTTTTTTGGCAAGTTTTTCCGGTAGGAAGGCACTTCTGCGGTTGTTGGGTATGGTAGATGAGAGTTAGTTGAGTGAAGCCTGCTTGTGTGGTTTTGATCAGGCAGGGGGCGAAGCCATCTGACGCGCTGGTGGGGTTCTGCGATCTCTTAACCCAATGTAGAAAGGGGGGGGGCTGAACATGAATGTCAGGCTGATTCGCGAATTGTCTGTGATGACGATGAGGTGAACGGGGTCTGAGGACTGTCCAGGAGTCATAAATGTTACGTATGGAATCATAGAGGCGTCGACCGGAGCAATAATAGGTGGTGGCAGTAGGACGAAGTATGAGGAGTGTAGTCCGAGGAGGGTGTTCAAAGGTGTTGATCTGGAAAGAAGCATTGCTGGAGATATGGAGCCATGGCTGAGGGAGTGTTGACCATCTGAAATAGGGGGAAAATGTCCCCAGACGCGGTGCAGGTCAACAGGAGGGGGGTGCCTGGCGTGAAGTATGTCACTCGAGACGGAATGGAGACCTTGGAGGCATGTGCGGCAAGAAGGAGGAAGAGGGTCG